AATTTAAGTAATTGATTTATCTTTGGAAATGGTGAGATCAATAAAAGAAAATACCAGATGTAAGATAAAAACAGAGTTAAAACAAATAAAATGAGGTCATGAAATTTTCCTATAAATGGATAGAGTTGGAGAGTATCATGCTTAGTGAAATGAGTCAGAAGGAGAGGGACAGGTATAGAATGACTGCATTTATTTGTGGGATGTAAAGAACAGTCTGAAACTAATATCAAAGGCTAGGGAAAATGGGCCAGGGGGGCTGGTCAATGGTTGGTCAGTGTTGTGGGAGATGGAGGGTAGTTAAGACAGGGGGGATCCATTATGCCTAAAATGAGAGAGAGAAGTAGAAAGAGCGAGGAGAAAGTTGCCTGCTATACAGGCCGGCAGGGGTAGGGATAGGTGGGAAACTGGGGACACCCATGCAGGAAAATTACACTGAGGAAGGAATGGATGTTGGAACATTTTATGAATGAAATGCAACCATGAACAATTTTGCAGTGCTCTATCTCATGGTGGGGCTGGAGCGATGGCACAGCGGTAGGGCGTTTGCCTTGCACACAGTCAACATGGCCGACCCGAGTTCAATTCCTCCGCCCCTATCAGAGAGCCCGGCAAGCTACTGAGAGTACCTCACCCGCACAGCAAAGCCTGGCAAGCTCTCCGTGACGTATTCGATATACCAAACACAGTAACAAGTCTCACGATGGAGATGTTACTGGGCCTGCTCGAGCAAATCGATGAATAACGGGAGGACCGTGACCGTAACTCTATCTCACGGTGACTCAATAAAAATAAAAAAATTTAAAAAAAATTCCCATTCTCATTACTATTGAAAACGCAGACACATTTTACTAAACATCAACAATACATGCTGTCATTGAATTTTCTCTTGAATTTAAGTAATGGATTTATCTTTGGAAATGGTGAGATCAATAAAATAAAATACCAGATGTAAGATAAAAACACAGTTAAAACAAATATAAGAATTAGAATTGATGCGAATTGCATCTCTCATGTGCCAAAAAATATTATCTTGATTCAAACTGTAATCATGATGCCAAAATGTGACCTCTGCCATGTTCACCACAATAAATGCTGAGAAAGCATAGAGGGGAGAGAGATTCATTCCAATCAAGTTATCAATTCAGGTAAGCAGAGCTATTTATAATCAGGCTCTTCCCAAAATATGGTTGTAGTAGAGAGACTACAAATACTCAGAAGTAATGAAGTTGAGAACTGGTCTTTATTAGGAAGTATATCACTGTAGGAGGTTCTGGTAGGGGAGAGGATAGGGCATTTTAGGGATAAAGGGGATACACTGGGACAATGAGTTGACATTGGAATGTTTTATGCATGAAACCCCACCATTGCCAGTATTGTAAATCATAGTGCCTACAAGAAAATTTAAAAATAGTTGTTGGCACTTCAGGAAACTATATAAGCTTTTTGAAAAAGAAAGAAATTATCTGCCCATAGACATGGTGTTAAGAACAACCCTTATGAAAGAACTGAATTTTGATTGGCAGGCAATGTGGAGCTGTTCCCTTGTTCACTTATGAACATCAGGTAATTGATAAACCTTTAGGCAAGTCAGTCCAACTGGAATGACTTACTGATGCTGGTCAGTACTGAGGCTATGATGATATATTGGACTACATTGAGGAGAGGAGATTGTAAATGGTTGGGACAATTCCACTAAACAGTATGAACCATTTGAATGGTGCTCTCCAATTTTTTTAAAAGCTTCTTTTAATTGTTTACAGGCTGGAGCAATAGCACAGCGGATAGGGCATTTGCCTTGCATGTGGTCAACCCAGGTTCGATTCCTACACCCCTCTCAGAGAGCCTGGCAAGCTACTGAGACTATCTTACCCACACGACAAACCCTGGCAAGCTCCCTGTGATGTATTTGATATGCCAAAAACAGTAACAACAAGTCTCACAATTTCTTGTGAGACTTTACTGGGGCCCACTCAAGCAAATCGATGAACGATGGGAGGATAGTGCTTTATCATTTACAACAGCTTTATTCATAAACTTCATTGCCTAAATTTGGAAGAAACCCATATGCATCCCCCCTTTTTATTGATTCACCATGAGATACAGCCACAAAGCTTTCATGCCTGAGTCTTGATCACGCAATCATCAAACACCCATCCCTTCACCAGTACACACCTTCCACCACCAAAATCCCCAACATTCCCCCTCCCCATCCCATTCCCTTCACCTGCCTGTGTGGCAGACAACCTGCACAATACTCTTTCTTAAGTCTGGCTACACTCGACATTTTGATACCACCACCACTCAAACCTGCTGAAAAGGCAACACTAGACAATCTGTTTTATATTGCTTGTTATGAATAAAATATAATGTCACGTAGCCGTGTCATGGCTGCACACTCTAAGAATTCTAACATTTTAATAATTAGGGTCTGGAGAGATCTCCGCAGGGACCTGCTTGGTTTAGTGATTCGTGTGTGTGTCTCTGGATCATGGCCGTCTGGGAGCTCAAGTAGCTGGTAGCCATTAATGGGCATCATCCCAGAGTCCCATCGGGGCTGGGGGAAGGAGACAGGCCAGCTCCTCCCCTTCCAATGAGGCCTGGCATTTGCTGCTACTGCCAACCTGTACCTGGCGCTTTTGTTGAGTTCTAAAAGATGGTGGCCACAGGGATTCCTAGGGGGCAGACGGAGGGATGGCACCTGCACCAATCTGGAGTATCCTGACGAAAGTGGCCCATTACAAAGTCTGGAGGCATCTCTGCAGCAAGCTGATTGCTTCTGAGATTTGTGTATGTTTCTCTCCAAATTTTTTATGTTGAAGCCCTAACCCCTAATAAGACTACATTTGGAAACAGGACCTCTAGAGGTAATTAAGTTTAAGTGGTGATTGGGATATGTTAGAAACAGCTCTCCACCGCAGTTATTACAGAAATGTAAAAGTAGAAGATATTTTTATATTTTTTAAAGTTTTACTATTGGGGCTGGAGACAGTACGACAGTTTTTGTCTTGCATGTGGCTAATCGTGTTCAATTCCTGGCACTACATATACTTCTTTGCATACTGCCAAAGTGATCTCTGTGCAGAGAGCTGGGGACCAGTCCTGAACACCACTGGCTATACTCCCCCACTCCCTGCCAAAACTCCAAACTAAAAGTTTTATTATTAATTTTATGTTTTATCGTATATCATCATCGTCATCATCATCATCATATCATCATCATCATCATCATCATCATCATCATCATCAGCTCTCTTTTTGCCTCCATCCTAATCATCTATTTACCCTCTTTTATTATAGCTAAGAATGAAGTTTTCTGTGTGTAAAAGTCCCAAGATGATTGAAGTATCTTTCATGCTCCACAGAATCCTAGAATGTTCTTTCCTAAGATGTGCTGGTTCTCAGGAAGCAGCCATACCATCTGCCTCTACATAAATGCAGTGTTTTTCATTTCTAAAACAGTGTTTGTTCCTACTATTAAAGTTCTATATGTTTATATTAGAAGATTTGACTACTGTAGAAATATATCTGTCATTGTCACTGTCACTGTCTTCCCGTTGTTCATTGATTTGCTCGAAAAGGGCCCAGTAACATTGTGAGACTTGTTACTGTTTGGCATATCTAATATGTCATGGGTAGCTTGCAAGAATTTGTCATGGAAATATATAAACAAAAAAATAAAGAACTTCATACTTTTGTTCTTATATGGTCTTGTTAATATTGGGGTGTCAAATGTAGTAAATAATTTTTCTTCTTGCTTTTAGTTAATGCACAATTATTTATTATATTAAGCAGTAATATTAAATAGGTAACACTTTAATTTTTAAAGTTTAAAATCTCTTATAAACTTTTTTAATTTGTTTTTTGGGCCACAACTGGCAGTTCTTAGGGCTTACTAGTGTTTTTGTGCTCAGGAATTACTCCTGACAGGGCTTGGAGGACCATATTGGATACCGGGGATCAAACCTGGGTGGACTCATGTGCAAGGCAAGCACCCTATTTGCTGTGCTGTCACTATGGCCCCATCCTATGGGTTTTAAAAAAATTGGGGGCATACCCAGTAGTGCACAGGGGGTTAGGAGGAATTAAGGATCATGCAGTGCTGGGGATTAAACTAGGGCTTCTCACATGCAAAGCGTTTGCTCTAGCCCCTTGACCATATTCCCAACAATAGGTTTTTTTTTTTTCTCTTCTGGATTTTCTTTGAGAATTCCTGGATTGACCAAAGAAATAGTGATTTTTACATACTTTGCATGTAAGAGCCCTAAGTTTGATCCCCGGCACGACAGATCCCTCAAGCATCACTGGAGTGGCCTCCGAACACTGAGCTAGGTGTATTTCCTGAGCAGCACCAGGAGTTTCTCCAAAAATAAAAAAGACCTCTCTACAAAAAAAACAGAAATTTTTTTGTTGTTGTTGTATTTGGACCATACCTGGCTGTGTTCAGGGCTTCTCCCTGGTTTAGTTCTCAGGGATCACTGCTGGAAATGCTCAGGGACCATATGGAGTGCCAGGGACCAAACCCAGTACCCCTACTGGCTGTAATATTTATCTCTCTGACCCCAAACCCTGAACAATTAAAGTATGAAATAGAAGCTTATTTTTTTTTCAAAAAAGGTGTATATCATATTCACAACAATATTTAATTCTTGGATTGATGTATTTTTCTGTATTTTTAAAAATGAACAGAGTTTAAATAAGCTAGTCATTTAATATTATTAAAAATGATTAAAGTGCAGTCCTGAAATATATTGTGTCTTGAGATAAACCAGAAACCTAGGGACATTGCCATATCTGGTTGGTTGGCACTTTACTTCAGATTGGTAAATGCTTGACATCAAAGAAGGCTCAGAATTTTCTTTGTCTTCATTTACTCCCTGTGTTGAATTGGTTTTCTAATTATGGTATTGTAAACCTATGTGAACGATCTTAAGATATGCTTACCTTTGAATGCTGTAACTGAATGATAAATGTTTTTTTTTTTTGTCTTTTTAAAATTGCAGTTGACTCATGTTGCCCAGGCAAGCTTCCAGGTTGATGCCTTTGGAACATCATTTATTCTGGATGTCACGCTAAATCAGTAAGTCTGTTGAGCTGCACTATCTTTTGAATACACTTTTCTGTCTTTCTCTAAGGTTTTGTTTCTTATTATATTTTACTTCATATTTCAAAATTGGTAAAAAATACACTTAAAACTGTAGCAATATTGACTAAGTATGAAAATAATAGGAAATGGATATCTATTTGAAATTGAATGATGGAAACAAATTTGAAGTTGGAAAATGGAGACGCGAAGCAGGCTTTGTGGTGTGTGTGCTGTTGGAGCTCTGTGTACATGAAACTGTCATGATCAGTAGTAGAAACAGGGAAAAGATGAGAAAATACAGGGTAGGATTTGCAATTATATTTTATACAATAATATATGTACCTAAGAGAAAATGAGTATCACTAGATTCTGAAAATTATACAAAAAATCATATAAAAAATGTCTTTTTTGTTTATTTCTTTGGCCACACTCAGTGGTATTCAAGGCTTACTCCTGGCTCTGTGCTTAGGGATCACTCATGGTGGGCTCCGGGTACCCTATAGGGTATCGGGGATCAAGCCCAGATCTGGTGCAAGGCAAGTGCCTGAATCATAGTACTATTACTCTGGTCCCTTGTGAGTTTCCAAAGAAAGTTTCCCAGGGGCACTCAGGTCTCGAGTGTTCAGTGGCTGAGAACTGTTCCCTTAGCTGGCCCATGGCAGTGGACAGACGAAGAACCTGGAATGGAGAAACTAGACCCCAGACCGGTCAGTAGACTATTTCTCTCTCCTCCCCAATCTCTCCCCTTACAACATAATTGTCATTGTAGTTTTGTTCATAGTTCCAGTCATTATAGTTCTATCATCCTAGTCTCCTCGTAGACCTCAAAAGTCCTCTACCTCATTATAGCTTCTCATTATATCTTCCGTGTCTTGTCATAGTCCATAGTCCTTTCTTTCTCCTTACAGTATAGTTACATGGCAATCATGAAGGGTGGAGGTACACATAGGTGGGGTTGAACATTGTTGTAACAACAGACAGGTAAAGCCACTCCTTCAGGGGAAGTTCTAGGAGATTAACTCAAGGGCAAAATCTCATCTGAGGGTTCAGCACTCCAGATAACTAGGAGATCTGCTCAAGGGAGGGATCCCATGTAGGGTGTATAGCTTTCTTCTTTCCTCAGATAGTAATCCATTTAAACAATTATAGTAAATTTACTTCTTATATTATTTCTGGGCTGGAGTGATAGCACAGCGGTAGGGCATTTGCCTTGCACGCAGCCAACATGGCTGACCCGAGCTCGATTCCTCCGCCCCTCTTGGAGAGCCTGGAAAGCTACCGAGAGTATCTCGCCCGCATGGCAGAGCCTGGCATGCTACCCGTGATTTATTCGATATGCCAAACACAGTAACAACAAAGTCTCCAATGGAGACGTTACTGGGCCTGCTTGAGCAAATCAATGAACAACGGGAGGACAGTGACAGTGATTATTTCTAGTCATTTTGTACGAACACAGTAAGAGATATATTAAGCTTAAAGGTTGGCTCTTCCTGGGGACATCTTGCTATATATTCTAGACTACAGTCCTCAGATAATTAGGTTATTCTATCCTAACAGCAACAAGGTCCTTATTCAGTTACTTCTTTTTGGGTCATGACAGAGATTGTTCCATGACCATTCTCTTAACTTGTTATACTTCTTATGGCACTTAGATTGTCCCTTTCCGATGCCAGGGTAGCTTACAGCTTGCCCTGGGTCCATCCAGTCCCTTTGTTGGGATCCTTCTTTTGGGGGTGCTGGGAAGTAAAAGCAACTGAGGTTTAATTCAGGTAAATATGATAGATGCCCAGTAGAAAACATTACATGGAGTCAGTTAACTCCCATGTACAAAAGCATAATCAACTGTTTTCCTGTGTCTATACAAAAAGAACATTGCTAAACCATGCAAGTGACATAAAGGAAAGAGAAAAGCAATATAGGATTATTAGTGCTTGATGGAATTGGGTGTGCCTCAGGGGCACTGTTGTGTGAGTAATCCAATAAACTTAAACTCCCTTCGGGAGGAGCAAAGACAACCCAGTGTTATCCCAGTCCTGAATTTTTTTTTTTTTACATCAGAAAAGAGAAGATTATTCTGGTACTTAATTGTTTAGAGGAGAGTTTCTCAATATTGTTCTAACTATGACCACAATATCAGACTAAGTTGGTCTCTGTTCCCCTTTTGTGATATATATATATATATATATATTTTTTTTTTTTCCTGTGGTTCCCTTATAACCTAGGACCCACATGGTCCCTGATTGAGAATTGTTGGTTTAGAGGATTGACTGCATTGGTGTGTAATTCAAAATAATGCTATTATTAGATACTTTCAACTTTGATGATTAGGTCACCAAGAATTCTATAAATATTGGTAGAATTTTGACTGTGGGGAAAATAGGATTTTAGAATTAGAAGTAACTTTTCATGAGTTTGTAATAAACCATTTGTCTTTGAGTGAGCATAGTGTTTTAAGTCAAGTAGGACACTTTATTGCGAACTTTTAAATATATTTTGATGTTTGGGTCTGCTCGGATCGGGGCTGAGCATCCTCCACCCAGATCCTCCAGATTCCAGTAGGCAGGGGTCACACCCACCAACTGGCCCCCTGGCGCTGTGTAATCCCATCAACCAACGGTCAAGACTCAGAGACTATAAAACCCAGCTCCCGGAACACACCTTATTGTGACATCTTATTATCTCATTCCTACTTTGGACAAACTGGCAGGCTACCGAATGTAACCTGCCCACACAGCAGAGTCTGGCAAACGCCCCGTGGCATACCCAATATGCCAAATACCAGTAACAATGATGGGTCTCATTCTCCTAACCCTGAAAGAGCCTTGAATATGGCACTTTTTAAAAAAATCTCAGGGCTAGGACAAAGGAGATGTTACTGGGGCCTGCTCGAGGCAATCGACGAACAACAGGATGGTCGTGATTGTGATCGTTTGGGTCACACCCAGTGGTGCTTAGAACTTACTCCTGGGTCTGTGTTCAGGGACAACTCCTGGCAGGCTCAGAGGACCACATGGGATGCTGGAGATCAGACCTGGGTTGGCCACAAGTAAGGCAAGTTCCTTACCTGCTGTACTATGATTCTTGCCCCATTTTTTTTAAAAAAAGCATTTGCATCACATTTCCTACCAGGGTTCTGTCAGTCTTTGTTTCTGCGCTCTGCAGCACTGACCACATCTTTGCTACATAGAAGCAACTGTTTCTCAATAAGGCAATCACCATTTATACGAATGCACTGTAATTTTGAACCGAACATACTGTATTCATTGTCTTAAGGTAATTTTTATCATATATTTTCCTTATATAATAACTCTCATCCATGTCATATATATCTCATATGCCTGTGTATATAGGTATATACATATATATATTTGTGTACACATGAATACACATGTGTAACTCATCTAAGTCTCACAGCAACTTCCATGTTGTAAAGTTTTAAAAAAGTAATTATAAAGGAATATATACTCCTTGGAAAAAAAATGAAAAAACCAGAGAAAAATTTTCACATAATTTTACTTCTAAAAGAATTGGTGTTATTTTAAGTTGTAACATTTTCTGCCCTCATCTTCATATTTACTTATTATATTCTTATCTGCGGCTTCTTTTTAAATATAATATTCATCAATATTTCATATGCAGGTCACCTCACTTGTAATTGTCATTGTTTTATGTCACTAGTTTTACTGCCAGCATCGACATAAGTTCAACTAATAATCTCCATATTATAATTTTTATAGTATTTTCCTGCCACATTAATGTAAGCTACTCTAGCATAGACATTTTTTTTCCTTTACTGCTATTTCTTTAGTTTAGAATAAACTTTAGGATAGAAAATTATCCTGGCTTGGAAAACAAAGATTGAGAGGCCAGCGAGTTCAACAAACTGAGTACATGCTTTTCTTTTCATTTAAATTTTTTTTCCTTTTGGTTAAAAATTTAAAAAAAAACACTTTTTTTATTGAATCAAAGTGAGGTGTAGTCATAAAGTTGTTTATGATTGAGTTTCAGTCACACAGTGTTCCAACATGAGTGCACAGTGTTCCTTTCACCATCACACATTTCCCAGAACCAGTGTCCTCAGTTTTCCTCCTGCCCACCCCCCGGCCCTGCTCCCACAGCCTGCCTTTATGCCAGACACTTTTAGAGCTTTTCATATCTATCACCCCGCACCCTGCCACCTCTTATTTTCATTTTAGGCTCTGTGGTTTGCAATACTGGTACCGAAAGGGTATCATGTATATCATTTTACCTCCTTTCAGCACTCAGTTTGTGTCCAGAGTGATCATTTCTACCTATCATTGTCATGGTGGTCCCTTCTCTGTCCCAACTCCTTCTTCCCATTGGTGGCAAGCTTCCTATCATGAACCAGTTCTCCCAGTCTTGTTTCTACTGGCTTTGTATATTATTCAAATATTATTTTTTTAAAAAATTTTATATCCTGATAATTAGTGATATGTACAATCATTTTGTGTTTGTTCTTCTTCCTCTGACTGATTTCACTCAGCATAATACTCTCCCTGTCCATCCATGTGTAAACAAATTTCATGACTTCATTTTTCCTAACAGCTGCGAAGTGTTCCATTGTGTAGATGCACCATAGTTTGTCTATCCATTCATTTTTTTCGGGCACTTCGGTTGTTTCCAAATTCTGGCCATTGTGAATAGTGCTGCAATGAGCAGAGAGAGTAGTGCAGATGGCTTTTCTCCATTGTATTTTTGGGCCACTAGGGTATATTTCCAGCAGTGGTTTTGCTGAGTCATATGCAAGCTCAGTTTCTAGCTTTTTTGAGGAATGCCCATGTTGTTTTCTGGAAAGCATTTTCCCTGTATGTGCGCGCACACTTGGTTGCTCTTTTCCACGTGAGCCAGTCTCTATGGAGCAGGATGATATCTCATTGTTTTGATTTGCAGCTCCCTGCTAATTAGTGATATGCACTGCACTGTCCTCCCGTTGTTCATCAATTTGCTCGAGCGGGCACCAGTAACGTCTACAT